GTCCATCTTAACTCAGTTGCCAATTGTTATGTTATTGATTTGTTAATTGGGGTGCAGGCTGCATACTCAAGAGGGAATCAGGTGTCACCAGGGCACCCTCTGAGGTGTCCCGTGGTGGTGGGGCAGCCGTGATGAGGAAAAGAGCCCCCAACCTCCAACCACATTTCAAACAGGTGTTGCGAAGAGTAGACACTGCCAAGGGGCAGCTGAGTCTGGGAGACATAACATTAACAATGAAGTGCATTTGGGATGTCCTTGAGACGGTCAGGGTCTCACTCTGTCACCTTGGTAACCGTGGTAATGTGTCCTAAATGTGCCTGTGGCCTTGGGATGGTCCAGACCCTGTTTTGCAAAATAACGTGGTTGGGAATTTCTGCTGTTTTCTCCTGCCGGCTGCTGCAAACACCCTGGCTCCCATCAGATATTCTATAAAATGGAGCTTCCCCCTTTGTTCTGAGCTCAGTTCTGGAGTACGAGCCTGACTGGGTCCACTCAAGTATGTAATAATATACCGGCGTTCTGCTCCTTGAGGTGTGTTGCTTGGTGTTTCACAGGCTGTGGGTAAGAATTTCTGTGGCAGCAGGTAGGTTTCTATGATTTATCAGAAAGCTATCCAGCTATTGGAAATGAGTGGTGGACAAATATTCTCTCCCAGTCTGTACGGCATTTTTCAATTCTGCTCATCATTTCTTTTGCAGTGAGATGCTTCTTAATTTGATGTGCCATTTGTTTATCTTTGCTTTCATTTGCTTGGCCAATGGCACTGAGTCATTGAAGATCTCTCTAGATTCAATGTCATGAAGAGTTCTGCCTATGTTTTCTCAACAGACTTTGTGGATTCAGGGCTGATATCAAGGCCTTTGATTTATTTTGAATTTACTTTTGGGCATAGTGTGAGGTAAGAGTCTGAGTATTTTTAGTTTTTTTTTTCCTTTAGTTTTCTTATCCTGAGTCTGACCAGTTTCCCCATTTCTATTTTTTGACTGGCTCATGGCATTTTCATTTATTTTATCTTCTTTTGTTTATTTTAGTAGTGATTTACACTTTTTTTAATAGAAGTCTTTCACCTCTTTTGTTAAACCGATTTATAGGTATTTGATTTTCCCACCACTCATCCGACAAAGGATAAATTTAACAAGAAAAATACAATAAGCTCCATCAAAAAATGAAAAGATGAGATGACTAGAAACTTCAAGGAGAGACATTCAGATGGCCAACAGGTATATGAAAAATTACCTGCATCACTGATCATCAGGGAAATGCAAATTGAAACAACAACGAGATGTCATTCACTGTGTACCAGTGAGACAGGCACACATCACAAAGAATGCAAAACAAACACACAAAACCAGTATTGGCATGGAGTGGGGAGTGGAGGGAGGAAACCTCATCTATTGCTGGTGGGAATATTGACTGCCTCAGCCTTTCGGGAAAACAATAAGGACACTTCTCAGAAAAACTAGGAATTAAGCTGTCAAATCCACTTTGGGCATCTATCCCAAAGGCTCAAACAATCTATTCAGAAAATCCATCTGCACTCCTATGTTCACTGCAGCACTGTTCACAAGAGCCAAAACCTGGGAACAACCAAAGTGTCCAAGAACAGATGACTGGATAAAGAAACTATGATACATATACACAATGGAACACTACTTGGCCATAGGCAAAGATGAAATCATGAGATTTGCTGCTTGCTACATGGATGGATCTGGAAAGCGTCATGCTGAGTGAAGTTAGACAGAAGAAGGAAGACAGACGCAGAATGATCTCCTCCTGTGCAGGACATAGAGAAACATAGTAAGGTAATAGCAAGTGCCCAGAGGCAGCAGAAATTGAGAATTGGTCTTCAGTAGGAAGCTATGGGAGGATTGGGGGGCGCCCGGGGGGGAACCGGGATGTGGGGGAACTGGGGCCCTGGTGGAGGGAAGCTGACGTTCTGGTGGAGGGTGCTGGAATGATTTATGCAAGAAACTCTGCATTAATAGGTTTGTAAACCACAGGGCCTAAAATAACATTTTGAAATGTGAAAAAAAAAAAAGGATTTATATTAAAAGCAATGGTTTGCGTGTGCATGAGACCCTAAACCTATTCTCGGCACCACACAGATAAAACCATCTCTGGGTTTTGTTCTGTTTGTTTTTGGAGGGTGCTCAGAGGCTGGGCTACTCCTGGGGTCCAGTGCGTATTCCAAGGGCTGGACAGGGCTGATGCTTCCGTGCTGGGTCTGGGACACAGAGCAGCACCACCAACGCAGGGACCTCCCAGGGCTTCTGGGGACCAAGCAATGTGGCGAGGACCTTGGTGAGTCACAGTCTGCAGGTACTCCCACCAACTCTGCCCCCCCGGAGTGCTCCTTTCTGGTTTATTTTCTTGTTTGTTCTTATTTTCTTGGTTATAATATTGCTTATATTCAAAAGTCAATACAAAATAATACTTCTATAGTCAGAAAAGTTCATAAAGGCAAATTGTTTATAACAATTGTCTATAACGTCAACCTTTTCCCAAGCTGGTGCTCCCTGCTGTCCTACCGGCCAGGCCCTGGTCCAGTGCTACGGATACCTCTACACCTACCCACTGAGGCAATTTCTACCTGTGACCCCTTGGAATATCCTGGGCCAACAGGGCGCCACATGACTCTGGTTAAGAAACACTAGCTTATAAGACTGATGGTAACATTAATTTAAAATGTTTACAAAGCCAAATATAACAGATTGGAGTGTTCTTAAGTAGGTTTGAGTCCAAATTTCTTTTTTTTTCCTCACTGAGGCTCATGCTTATTTCTATTGCGTATTGAAGTTATTGCCACAATTAAAAAACTTTTTTCCATTCAACATGGCCAAAAAGGAAATCAAGGCCCACCACACTGAAAGTGTTCCTGAGAGGTAACGCCCACCCTCTGCAGCCCATGGAAGGAAAATTTCAGCAGCAGAAGGTGACTCTGGTCAAGAAATTATTTCAATTGCAGAATTTTTAATGAGAACAAAGAGCATCAGAACACTTTCAGTTTCTGGTTATCATTACAGGCCAGGCACCCTAGTAATTTTATATTCCAATGGGACAAAGCACAAGTGTCCCATTCACCAAGGGGCTCCTGCAATCAGGGGGGTTGATGGCCTTTGCCCAGCTTTTCACTGAAGTGGAAAGGAGAAGGAACTCTCCAGGAGGACAAGCAGGTCAGTCAACAGCAGCCGTAAAAAAAACAGCAGAGAGTGGGCGAGATGAGAAGATGCAGACCCCACTCAGCCACCGCCCGCAGGGGCACCACACTAAATCAGTTCCTCTGGTCTGACACCGCTGTTTTCACTAAACAGTTAAGTGCCCAAGGAAATACCAGCTGGGTCTTAAAGACGATTTATAGCTGGGCTGGCTGGTTGCACCTGGCTCTGTTTGGATAGCAGGTTTGGTCAGTTTATAGCTGAGATTCTTGTCTACACTAGAGGCTGTCATTAACGTGACTAGACCTTTGGGGGAAATGTGCTGCTCCTTAGCCAAGCTCTCCCTACTATGTACCCTTCCCCCTTTAATGAAAAACAAAACCTCCTGCTGGGGCAAAGCCACCTCTTCCTTGGGGCCAGCACAGAGCCTCTGGGAGTGAGGAGGGTTTCCCAGTGCCGCTCCCACGCCTGTGTCTGGGCGTGGAGTAAGGGCTCTTTCTTCTCCATCCCTGGGGCTAACTGTGGAGCACAGCAGCCTCATTGTCCTGGGCCAGGACACTCGGGCTCGACACTCAGGCTCCTGCTCCCTGAACTCCCACTTCTTCCCAGCATCCAGGCCCCAGTCTGGGAGTGCTGCCACACCCTTGACAGGCTCAGGACATGGAGGCATTTCAGCCGCTTTTGGCCACTGCAGCTGAAACCAGAGCCTAGATGGCGTGATTCAGGGTCAGACGACCCTTAGCTGGGCATTCTGGGGGATTTCTGTCTCCTGGGGTCAGCGCCATTGTCTCAAGCACCACTGAGCACTCCCTCTGGGGCGAGCCCTGAAAGAGCGGGGCACTCAGGCGAGCACGCAGTCTGCCCGCACTCCCAGGCTTCTGTTGCACCCAAGGTTTCGATTCCTTTTTTCACTCCGGGGATGATTAAGGCAGTAACTTTTGAGTAGGTTACACACTTTCCGAAACCTAAAGCAAAGTGTCCTTTTGCGGGATAAGCTGATGAGGGCTAGTGGGCGACACTCCCCTGGGTGGTAGAGAAGGACAAAGATGTAAATAGAGGGATGAAAGGTAATGGAGAATGGCTCCTCCTGGGCCTTAATTTCACGGTTCACAGACATCCAGTGACACTCAGACACTCCCAAGGGGAAGCTCATATAACTAGTCATGAAACCAGAAATGCACAGCTAATGGGGCTGTGTCCCCGGGCAGACCCCACCCCCAGGCGCGGGGACCAACTGGGAAGGGTCTGTCTGCAGACTGGCCCAGTCTGGCCAGGCCTGCGCTCCTGTGGCCTGCAGCTCTGGGAGCCCCAGGCTCTCGCGAGTGTGCTCAGGCTGCTCTAAGTTGCAGGACACAGGCCCAGCGAGCGGGGCAGACCCAGCGTACTGGCAGAGGCAGGGCTGGCCAGAGCCCTGTCTCCCGCAGACCTGCGCATGGACACAGAGAAGAAGGTCCAGCAGGGTGTATACTGGAGTGACCGAGAGAGACACACGGGGACGGCTCACTCGGAGGGGACAGCCAACCTGAGACCGGGATGCAGAAGCCAAGAAACAAGGGGAGATGCCCCAGGCAGCAGAGGCCAGCCCGCTGATCTTGCGGGACACCCAAACTGGTACCAAGCTCTGCAGGACCCCTGTGGCGGTGGTCTGGGAGCCACCAACAGGAGCACTTACATCTGTAGGCCTTGAGACAGAACTGCACCCAGGATGATGGAGGCGGGATATTCTCCCCCAGCACAGGGTACCCCACCTTTTATCTGGCGGCATGAACACATGCATGGTCAGAATCTGAGCCATAAACTTTACCGTTTCCCCCAGACTCGCTCGCAGGGGTCTCCTGAGCTCACCTGTGGTATCCCGGGACTCTCAAGCCAGTCCTTGAAGATGCTCTCCACAGACAGCTCCGACCTGTAAAGACACAGCCACAGGGTGAAGAGCTGCAGAGCCTGTCTCCCTCCCCCTGCACAGGCACCCACTGCACCTGACCCCGGGGCACACAGCTCCAGGCCTCCTGAGAGCAGCCTCCCACTGGCCCGTGAGCAAGGCACATGGGAAACTCAAAATCAGGGCTCTCCCAAGATTGGGCCAGTTAGTGCCTTGGGGGGTTCAGAATGTCAACTCAGGGGGAACAGGGCCTGTTCAGGAATCAATGGCCATGAGTGTGCCCTAAAAGTAATGAGGCAAAACGGAACCAAAACATTCTAGCACTTGCCACCTGGGAGTGCAGTTCCAGCTTTCCCAGGATGATGGGCTATGCCAAGCAGAGGCGAGCCCGCTCCGGGTACGGAGGTTCCTGGTGCTGTGTGTGGCGCCTCTGGCCTGGTTTGAACGGTTATGATGGATGAGGGCTCTGAGCCACGGCAGCAGGAATTCTTCCAGTTTGTTGCCTTGCTGGTTGGGCGCTCCTGGGATGTCTGAGAATCTCCCATATCCTCAGGGAGTATGTTAGCACCAGCCATCCAAGCTGAGCTTCCGGCGGCCCTACGCCCTGCCCACTGAGATGGAAGCAGCCTTTCCTTACCCATTCCCAAGCGCTTTGGCTCATGCCCGGTTCGTGTGCCAGAGGCACCCTAGGGTCTCCCCTGGAGCCCGAGCACAAGGCTTCTGCTCTTGGCCCGGGCATTTATCCTGGCATGCAGCTGCCGTTGATTTGTTTGTCTGTTTGGGGGCCACACCTGGCGATGCTCAGGGCTCTGCCTCCTGGTTCTGACTCAAGGTTAACTCCAGGCGGTGCTCAGGACCCTGTGGGGGTGCCGGGGATCCAAACCCAGTCCGCAGAGGGCAAGGCAGTGCCTACCTGCTGTGCCAATGTGCTGGCCCAACAGCTGCCATCAGCTTGGTCTGATTTAACTGTCTCCCCACTGGACTGAAGCTCTCTATGAGTGGGTCAAGATTTGATCACCACTCTACAATGATCCCTAAGCACAGCTCTTGACACAGAAAGAGGATCCCCGCCAGCATTTCTTATTTGAATGAATGAAAACACATTTCCACTGTTGACTCAATAAAATAGTATTCCTTTGGGGCTAGAGAGCTAGAAAAGGGAGTAAGATGCTTGCCTTGCAGGTGGCTGAACCCAGTTTAATTCCTGGCACCACGTATAGATTTGCAAGTACCACCAGAAAAGACCCAAATGCACCCTCAAACCAATAGAACAAAGCCTAAAAATACTCCTCATGGGGAACCAAAGCAACAGTGCAGTGGGTGGAGTGCTTCCCGGCACACAGCCAGCCAACACAGGTTCTGTCCCTGGTACTCCATGTTGTCCCCCAAACATCAAGAGTGATGCCTGGCACAGAGCCAGGAGTAAGCCCTGAGCACTGTAAGGTGTGACCTTTCCTCCCCCAAAAAGATCTGGGGAGATGCTCACAGGGATGGCACTTGCCTGGGGGTCAGTCCCCAGGACCTCAGTTCCCCAGCACCGTGGGGTGCATGGGCAGGTGTGGTCCATAGGCCAATACTAACAAAGTTTTCCTTTTTCAGATAATGATCGCCTTGCCCCTAAAACTGCTGGAAAATGTTAGATTGCATTCAGTTTTGTGTACTTTATATTCTTATATGCATATAGAAAAGATTACTGAGGATGGGAGAAGTAGTTTAAAGGTGTGAGATATATTCCCTGAGTACATGAAGTCCAGAGTTCTACCCCAAACTGCATGCTTCCTCCTCCTGTCCCCATCACCCCCGGGCTCTGGCAGGATCATGTCACCAAGTCCAAACCTCCTGTCCCAGCTGGGCAAAGTAGGCAGGCAGTGGCCGCTCTAAGCACTGCCTGAGTGTCCCCAACCCCTGTAGTTGTGAAAGAAGTGGCACAAATGCATGGCCCTCTCTCCCTCTGTCAGAGACATGGCCCTCTCCCTCTTTCTGTCAGAGACACGGCCTCCTCTTCCTCTGAGAGATAAGGCCCTCTCTCCCTCTCTCTGTGAGAGACACAGCCCTCTCTCCCTCTGTGAGAGACACGCCTCTCTCCCTCTGTCAGAGACACGTCCTCTCTCCCTCTGTCAGAGATATGGCCTGTGAGTCACAGGAGAGACATGGCCCTCATCCCTCTGTGAGAAGCACAGTCCTCTCTCCCTCTGGTACTAAAGATTCACATGCTCCCATCATCCGAGGGTTGTATGACGGGGAGTTTTGGCACAGGTGGGACAGAGGAGCAGGTCTGGGGAGTAAGAGGGCCCCACCCCATCACTTTTCTTCCGAGGAAGAATTTTGTCTTCCCAATTAGGGTACTGGCAAAGGTTGGGAGGCCACAGAACAGAGACAGAACAAATACACAGGTGGGAGAAGGAACCGTTCAGAGCGACTGGTTTGGTTTTCTGGGGAGGACCATCGGCAGTGTCAGGATTCAAACCTATGAGGAAGCACAGCCACGCAGCTGCCAGCAGCTCATCTCTCAGAGCTCAGAGCACAGTGGGACAATCCGGGCCCTGTGGAGGACCCAGAGGCCGGCACAGGCTCAGTGGTTTGATGGGCACCTCAGACGAATGGCCGGGTCACTGTGCTGGTCTTTCCCCCTTGCTCCACACTCTCACTGACAGTCACAGCATGGAGGCTGATGCAGCTGACAGGGTGAGGGCAGCCAAGAAGCTGGGAGGACCTCAGACTCACTGCTCCTCCTCACACTCCATTCCTTGGTTGGCTGTGGAGAGGGAATGACAAGCGCCCTGAACGGGCACCACTGCTTTGCCAGAGCAGAAAAGTGGGGTAAGAAGGAGCCACTTAGAACAATGTCCAGGGGAACTTGAGCTGTTTTACTCTGTAATGGAATAGGCGCAGTAGGGAGTTCAGTCCGATTCCAGACTCCTCTGAGACACGGGTGCAGCACGACCTGTGTTTGTCCGGAGACGCAAGGCCACCCCACCACGCATGAGGCATGAGGCGGCTTGCCAGGTGAGGCCGGGGCAGTGTGCTGGGCAGCCACTCCATCTTCGCTGAACGATTCCCTCCCTCCAGGCTGCTCCCTAAGTGGCCCATTCATCTCACGTCCTTTGTAGTTCAGAGGGACATGGCTATATCCAAAGGTCTCTGTGACTGAATAAGAATCGAATGTGCTGACCCAGGCATGGCCTTCTGGAAACTTCCACAACTTCAGAGGGAGAGGGAGAATTAAGGAAGGACAGGAAACAACAGTGGTGATGGGAAAGGCGGTGAGTGCATGAGGCAAGGGACATCACTGCCATTCTCCTGAGCTTTGATGAACAAGGAGGTCCGGCTGCTATGCACCTAGGGAGGTATAAATAGCAGGCACGGACATGAATTCCCCTCGGGGGATTCTGGCTGTAATATCTTGCCTTGGGGTGGCTCAGAGAGGAGCTGGGAGCTGAGTCTGGGGATGTCACTGCACATGGTCCTGCTCATCACAGCAAAGACTGTACTACAGGTGAAGCTTCTGTGCGCCCTGATGCTCAGAACGCCTCCCAGGCACAAGGCTGGGATGGGGTGGGGGCTGTGCAGGAAGGCTCACGGCCTCACCAACAGGAGTCTGAACTGTGCAATGCAGAGACATGTGGGGCTCAGCTCACAGCAGTGCTCACTCTTCAGAGCAACGGTGCAAAGGAAGAAGACTACGGAGGTGGGGGTCCAGGGGTGCCTCCTTGGAGGAGTATGAGCTTGATCCATATGCAGAAAAAATGGCACTTGCCCAAAGGAGGGCCGGTAGGCAGGAAAGAGCAGAGGCAGGAACCGCACGGGGGAGAGGGATGTCAGAGTGGAAATGGAGTGTCCCCAGCAGATTCTGAAGTCCTGTTCTTGAGGCTCTGAAGCAGACCAGCACGCGTCAAGAGGACGAAGTAGAGAAAGAGTGACAGAAGGAGAAAGGCAGGAGGCGGAAGCCATGACAGGCGTGAGTGTGTTCTGATGAGACAGGTGGGTTCCAGACGCCGCCACTCCCCAGCCGTCTGGGGGGTCAGAATGCAGCAGTGAGGCCCAGCGTGCAGGCGAGGCTGCTGGGACGCCAAGAGGCAGCAGAGGCCCACGTGGGGCCTGGCTAGTGTGCAGCCCAGATACCAACCGGGCAGGGAAACTCCGTGGGCTATTTCACGGCAAAATACAAAGGCAAACTTTGTTTTGCCAGATTAAATATTTGCAAACACATACAACAGAGTGGCACAAAAGAGCAAAAGCTCCTCTATCCAGTGCTCCCCACCCCCAAAGGGACAGGAATGCAATAATGGTGGCCATTATGACTGAATATCTGTTGTGTACCAGACACTAGAGCAAAATCTCATTGAAGTTTTACCGTATCTGTGCCAAACCCATATTATGATCTTCTTTTGAACAACAAAGACAACTCGAAGAGGGGAAAGGGGCTCATCCAAGGCCACAGATGGGAGTCAAAGAGTTGGGGTTCAGGAAAACCTCAGTGACCTGAATCTCTGCTGTGCTGAGACTCCATGGTTCCCGGTTTATGGCACAGACAAGCCTGCCCCAGGGAGCCGGGTCTGCTCTCCATGAGGCTGTCAGCTCTCCCGTATCGCTCACATTTCTCTTGCTGAAAGCTGCCTGGCCCAGTGGCCACAGCCCTGTTTGTCTGCCCTTCAATTAGAGTTCTAAAGAGCTGGGACACCCGCGGGTGGGGCCCCAGGAAAGGGCAGGAGAGTTCATCACTGGGCTTTGTTCAGTCTGCAGAAGACAACCTCCTGTGAAGAAAGCAAACAGCTGTTTCCAGATTGCTGTCCTCTGCAAAGGCTCAGGGCTGCTTCGGCCATTAGCACTTCACTCCTCACCGTGTCCTTGTGAAGGGGGTGGGGGGGGATCTCTGGAGCTGGCCTCCACCCAGATGAAGAACCACATTTTTAGAGCATGAAAGTTTAATGTCGAAGTTCACATTATTCCGTTCATGGGTTTCTAACGTGGAACTCGAGGTTAAACCATGAGAGGGAGGTGTAAGTATTAACTCCAGCTCTGGA